GATAAGTGGATACAAAATTTCCAATTTTTATACAATTTTTAACATTTAATGTTTTTTTTTTATGTAACTGAAAAAATATGTAGAAGGTAAAAAACTTGTGGTAAATTTTTTATAATGAAATACATAATTATTTATTTGTATGAATTATGTTTTAAGGGGACGTCTCCTGCCCATCTGTCTTGTCTCCGTCTAACGTATCACATGACACATATAGATCATCCTGAATGTAAAATTTACTATGATGTGCGTCGGTTAAACGGAAACAACTGACACGTGTCAACACGTGCGAAATAATAACTATTTAGGTGCTTATAATCAGTGATACATAATAATACGTAATAATACTGATGTAAACAGAAACAGTTAATTAAAAAATTAACTATAAAAGCAAAAGAAAAGCAACAAGAAATGGGAGGATAGYGAYATCCTCCAACACTCATTTGAAGACGTCCCTGCATTAAAAACCATTAATTTTTTTTGCGAATTCACACGAAACTAATTGTAAAAATAGCTCCGCTCAGACTCTAAAATGGTACAATACACTATTGCAGCCTACTATAGTTAAATGAATCATCCAAACATGCTCGTGATAATAATTGAAACATATTCTACACGAGTTCTAGAATAAAGACAAATATTTCCACTTTTAGCCAGCACAGAAGCTGTTTCTAGCAATAACTAATGTTTTATTTTCATTCCGAACCGTTACCATTGAATATACGGAACAATAAGAATATGTACTATAGTCTATCAAAATACATCGAATATAATAAGTATATAGAACAGACAACAACCACAACAATATACGATGACCTACAAAAAGCGAACGACACYACACACTACGTGTTTATTAGCCGGAGTGGGTTAGACGTCAATGGAGTATATTATAATATTATATGTGGATGATAAATGACCGGCGCGCCATCGAAGTTGGCTATAAATATCTATTTTTGAACTACATCATCTTGAAATTCGACTCAGTAAACCGAACCGAATGCAATGCTTGTCGTTTGATGTGCCGTAACGCCTGTACTGCTGTGCATAAAATGAGACTAATACAAGTGCAGTTTAATTTAATAATATACCATCCAAATTTACGACTACTTTGATGGAAGCTGTGTAAAAATTCTATTTTTGCATGTTGTGTAAATTGAGAAAAACGAATATATTTTTTCATCAATTTTSGATGATGACGCTGATGGACGAGTCGATGTATAAATAACTATCGATATTTTTTTCATTAAATTTCAATATAAATATTATCATGGATATTTCAACCGTTATAGGTATAACGATAAATGAATTAGCCGGTGCCAAAGATTTAATTCCATAAAATAAATCTTGTATTGATACAGAATATTATAGGATTTGGAAGAATTTTAATTAAAAGTTTAGGAATGATGTGGGAAAATGTTATATTAAGGATTAATTCCATTGACTGAAATAGCGTGATGATCAATGAAAAATGCGCCTTTATGGGGGGGGGGAATAAGCCACACACCAAAACTGAGGTAAAATATACGACGAGCTGTGATTGAGCACTTCATATAACGAGCGTGTTAGATGGCCCAAACGCCACAAAGATTATTTGACTATCAAAGGACGACATGCATCCTATTATTGGCTTGAAACTATACATTGTACCTATCAAATATCGATATTATAATTTATAATCATATGCGTTGGACTTTTATATACTATAACAAATTGCTCATTCATCAAGATCGAAACCACAAGTGTGACCCCCAAGACGGAGACGGACGGACTAGGAGAGGAAAAAAAAATTCACCACGGTCCGTTGATTTTCGCTAGGGGAGACGACAGTATCTGCAGACGACTGCAGCGTGGATAAAACCAACAAAAACACGACAGGAAAAAAACTGACGACATCAACGACGACAACGAAAGTCCATAAAAGTAAGTTTCCAAATATATATATATATAAGCAAGTAACGCGCGCGATGTACACCCACACACACATATTACATACATCGCATTCCCGAAGGACGGCTCTGCCTGGCCGGCCGGCCGGAACCGACGACGACGCCGACCGGATGGGGCGTATAAAAAGGTCTTGTATCCGGTGCCAGTTTGACCATTTGACACCCCTCGACGGCGTCATCGTTCAGTGTTCTATATATGTATATACACACAGATATGCGGTAGGGGATAGGGTACCCCWCACACACACACAAACACGCACACGCACGCGACAATGCCTCTACTTCCGCCGGCCGCCTCTCTAGTAGCCGTCGTCGTTGTCGTTGTCGTCGTCGGATGTTGGAAGTTCCGGTCTCGTCGGACCTCGTCGTGCGAGCGCGCGCATCTCCGCGTTGTTCTTCGGCGTTATTGTCGTCGTCGTCGTCGTCTACTGCTGCTGCCGGCCGCAGCGTTTGTGGCGAGGCGCGAGCGCGTTTATATAGTTGAATTATCGTGCGGAAAACAGTTGTTTTTCCTCCGCCTCCCGTCTCCTATACATATGTGGCTCTCCGTATTATAACTGCTTTTTTGTCCTTTATTTATTTATTTATTATTATTATTATTATTATTATTCCCGCACGCGTTCAACATAATAAATGTCCCCACCGGCCGTCTTTGCTCGCAACTCGTCGTCGTAAAAAAAAAAAGTGCTTTATTATACCGTTGAAGATGCGTGGCGTCTCCTACACCGTAATATATATATAAGACAATAAGACGAAATAGCCGACACAAAATGACCGTAAATATTTATGTGCGACAGTTCTACAATACAAAATGTTCCTTTTTATATAGGTGCGTTTCCGCGACGTACGCGATCATTGACCATATATATACCTTAACCTTATTATCTAAAGGCCATAATCGTATTAATTTGTGACCATGGCCCGCCTGGATGGCGGTGAATATATTTATTTTAGTTTAAATATAATAGTCATATCGATTTCTATAGCAGCACACTATCGTAATACATAAATATTTTAGTTTTTACGTAAGGTCGTGTACATTCAAAAAACAAAAATTTGATTTTTTTTTTAATCAGGGTTAAATACTAATAATTTAATTTTTAGACAAATCGTTAAATTACTTAGGTGAACGCAGATGAAAAAATGTTCTATCCGATACACGTGATAATAATTTCGAAAAAAATAATTAAGAAAATTATATATCAAAACTATTCTATTATACATAACTGCCAATTATGTTATAAATGTTATTAATCAGTATAAGTCATAGCAGAAGGCTCAAATCACTTGGAAGTTTGAATGGTATTACTGATAACTACATTCAGAGTCTCGTAAAACAGTATAACTGTCATCCAATAAAAAGGAATAAATCGCAATAGTAATATTATATTGTTTAAGTACAATGTCTAAAAGTCATTTTGATGGTCGACGACTACGCCATGTAGTTAAAACGTTGACGAAATTTAGAAAATTTTWGAAAAAATTCTTGTACGGATTTAATATAATAATATATTAGGCATAAATACATCACATCAGACTCGTGTTTAATGTTAATAATAAAAAATAAAATATTATATTATGTTATGTTCACTTCAATGATTAAACACGCTTTATCTCCATAKTATACGATTTATGTTATCGGCGTATAAATTCATTATTATTATAATTGTACCGTATAAATAATGTATCTATGTGTTTATTATATATAGCGTATACCTACACCTACTTCATGTCTTGGAAATGTGACATAAATCAAAATGCAATTCGTTTTCACAGACTCGATGCGATAAAAACTGATTTACCATAATATATTGTTACCAGTGGAATAATAATTAATAATGAGTATGACATCATAATATGGCACGMGGTTATAACCACGGTATAATCGTAGTGGTACGAAAATTCAAATATATTTTATAGTTTAGMAGTACGGTGTTTCATGATATGAAATTCCCGATTTATTTTAAATCGATTCACAATAAGGACCCAAAATTAATTATTCASCATAAAAAATTAATTTGTAATCTGTTCTCAATCAACTCTTATATTTAAGTGATTTTACCACTATCACTAAAATACACTTAATAGGCTATAAGTACTAAAGATGATGATGTTAAGATATTCAGTTAATACGCGAGTTGTTAGCGCGTGACGATCAGAAGTCCGAAGTCCGAAGCGTATATATACAATAACAATTTGTCATCGGCGCTGATATAGAATTGTTCAAAAGTTTCAATTATGAATCTTCACATCACTTTCATCTGACGGWAATAACTTGATATTTTAGTACCAATTGTTGTTTTTATTTTAAATTCGCGCATATATTATAAGTATTTGGTCAATTTCGTTTCGACATTATTCTATCAATATTAGTCGTGTGTTATGTGCGAAAACAAATGCATACTACAGAATAAGATATATCGAATAGAAAATAATATCACTCGGTGAAAGTTCTCGAAGRCGATTTAAAATAATAATAATAATTTCCCCCATCGATAACAGTGCTACAATATTAAAATATCACCGTCCCCGCGATACAAAATTTTAAACAATTTAAAACTCAGCTGGTCGTTGTATTGCCTATTTAGAGCGCCTTTCGTCCAAATTAAATATTTAAAGCTTAATTTCGCTACTCGGGGGATTTGTTTATATTAAGCAGTCCTTTAACCGATATATCATTATAACTTATACATTATAATAATATTTCTTAAAACAAATTACATGCAAATAGAATGAAAACTATACATACATATATATTGAAACATACACTTATGTATTATAAGAGAAATAAAATAAAAAATAGAAATATATAAACGAAAATATTTCTTTTATTTTAAAATAACTATTCGTATGGTTAAAATGAAAAATAAAGTGAAATTGTTAACATAGATTAYAAAATCTATCAGCAGAAATATCCTTGTTAATTTTGAAATCAATTTTACTCATTTATCATTTATACACTGAATATTTATATATTTCTATTTARTATTCACATAAGTATATTAAATATTATGCATTATTATATAAGGTAAAACTCATGCTTTCAAATTATCTCACCTTTTTCATTGTTGTTGTCATATATTCCACTTAAGACTTCTGAAAAAAAAACGTAAAACAAAATCACCCCAGTCGCTTATGATAATTTAATAAAAATAAAAAAGTTTAAATAAAAATAAATAAACAAATAGATAAATAAACAAATAAAGACATTGTTTTGTTGACGATTATTTTTTCAAATACTAATTTTATAGGGAGTTTTATTGGCAGACTAGTTAGTGTTATTATGTTGTCGTCAACCGCAAAGAGAATTGAATCGTGAAAACGCGTAGAATGAATAAAATACACTATATAGGGTGTTTGATTTTCACCAAGTTTGTCCTCGTATAACCTATACAATATACATACTCGCTCGCTCATGCCAAATATATATAATTCTCCCCTCTGAATAAGTTTARAAACTTACAAAGTTATTTGTATACTTATAATGGAAATTAATTAACTTTTTATACCTGCAGGTAAGTAAGCAGTAATCATACATAATTTATAATGAATGGGTATTTAAGATTTTTAATGTAAGTAAAAACCAAATGTTAAATGTTTAGTGGTTGATTGAAATAATAATGAGTAAAAAATGATTTAAAAATAAAAATAATATATTTATACCGTGTAAAATAAAAAATATAAGACAATAATAAATGAGAGAGATTGAACGAAATGTATAAATTACTTTGTAAATCCAAAATACTTATCAATTCTCAATTTTAATATTAAGGGTCGCTGGGTTAAGCTGGGTTAAGTATGTCCATCGTCACATCAAGGCTCATAAATTGTAAATAATAATAAATAACCTACCCTAACCTGTGTAATATGAACGATAAAAATAATTATCGAAGACACAGTTATAGAACTTGTAATATTAATGAATCGTCGCTGAATAAGCAACACCACCTATGTCGCGTTTTGGTTAAAAATATCTTCTGTCCTTCTGTGTATAATGCTGTAAAAATTATCTTGCCTCTTATTGATAATATAATTATAAATAATAATATAATATTTGCCAAAGACCAGTTGTATTCAAGTTTAACGAAACATGCTAGTATTAAGCTTTCGAGTATCGTGTTTTATTGATTTTTACATAAAAAAATATCGATTTTCGACCTCTACTCAAAATTAATCAATTAATAATGAAATCTGTTTCATCCGCGTTATAGGAGTATGAATAAACAACAAATATTATTGTTATTATTCTATTCTGAAAATCGCGTTATAATATGAATAATTATAATAACATATTTTATAAAGTCGTTACTTGCGGTTGGAAACGACAAATAAACCAAATTTTGGACGTACAATATTCACGCGAAATAATATGATTATGCATTTTAAATCGGTTCACACTTGCAGACCTCGCTAATCACCAATCTGTAAACGACGGTTTTTATCATTTTGAATAACTCATTCAATAACCATTTCGAGACAACGCTAAGTTTAAAAAACAATACAGTAGGTATCTACAGAGTGATTCTTTTATCAAACAACRCGCATTATTTAAAAAAGTATTGACTTTTTTCAAAATATTTTTTACATAGTTTCAAGTTGTTAAAAAACCAACATTTTTATTAAAAATTTGTCCACTACTCCGCTTGTCTAAACTTTAAATACTTATAACTCATAAACTACTCGTCCTAAATTCGWTTTTTATGAATCAAAATACTTAGAAAAATATTCTGCTTTGGAATATGAAATTAAAACTCTGTCGTCATTCAAAATAGTAAAAAACTTAAAAAATTATAAGGATAAAAAATATTTAAAAATATAATTTTTTAATAAAAACGTTGGTTTTTTAACAACTTGAAATTATGTAAAAAAATATTTTGAAAAAAGTCAACACTTTTTTAAATAATGAGTGTCGTTTGATAAAAGAATCACCTTGTAGATTATAGATAAAAATTAAACAGTGTATTTGTTGTTTTTCCGAGGGACACAAAATAATAATAATAATGAAAACCAAGAGCAAACGTAATACATTATATTGACTAATAAAACACAGTAATAAATAAACGGGCCATCAGAATTGTCTGCAGAAAACCCGTACGGGAGTGAAATTAGCGTACGCATGAACATTATAATATATCGTACGCATATAAATTAGATCGTCGGGGTGAGTGACAACCAGCGTGTACGAATGGGCGGGTAAATACGCAGAAGTCGAAAGGAATTTCAACGGATTGGATGGCGGTTGCTGTCGAGGGCACATGAAATATATTTTAAACGCGACGTCGACCAAAATCTGGGACAGTTTTTTTTTTTT